CTCTGTTAATAAACGCTCAATTTCTACAACTAAGGAAAGGGAACCATGTTTCTAAGCATAGTTTAAAAACTGGAGTGTGGGAAAGGAATTTCACCTTGCCACTGAGTTGAGAATGCCTACAGGCTGGCCTAAGCCCTGCTGCTTTATTCTTAAAACATTTTAACTTTGTGCTAACATTGAATGTTGAACGTGAGGCCCACTCTTGGTAAAAGTTCAGGTTAGGTTTGGGACACTAGGATATTTTCTCTCATCCATAATCATTGGATAAAGGTCTATACATCAAATGGTTAAGACACAAAACACAAACAAGGTGGTAATTTGTTTCTCCCTGGCCTCTGTTTTTCTTGGCATGGAAAAATTTATGCATTTCCTGATTGGGGATGGGTCATGACATTAGGGGGCGATTCATTCAAAGTGGCCTGAGTCACTAACTGACTGGCCTTTTATTTCTTTTCATTCTTCCCCCTCATTTCTCAACTCATGTAAAGAAACACACTGAATAAAATAATTCTCTTGCTGATAAAAAAAACAAAACATTCCCTCATGTTGCAGTGACCCCCAACCATAAATCATTTTCATTGCTACTTCATAACTATAAGTTTGCTACTGTTATGAATCGTAATGCAAATATCTGATATGCAGGATATATTAAGGTAACCCCTGTGAAAAGGTTGTTCGGCCCCCAAAGGGGTCGCGACCCACAGGTTGAGAACTGCTGCTCTACATTCTGAGCGTTCCCCAGATGCTGTTAGCCAAGGGAAAACACTTTGAACAGCAAAACCTTATTATCTAAACACCTTTTTCTTTGACTTTTAAGCCTGAGGCAATTTAATTACTCAATTAGAAATTCAGGTATCAAATACATAATTTAACCCAAAGACAGAAATAAGTTTATAAGTTTTCTGTAATGCTAACTCGCTTTAATCAAAGCCATTCTTGTCTCAGCAAAAACAATCTATTCATAATGAAAAATAAAGCCCAATTGCCAGAGTTAATTCTAACTGAAATCCTTATTAAATTACTTACGTCCTCCTCCTCACCACCGTCATCATCCTTATCCTTTTTCTTCTTGTCCTTTGGTGGAGGAATAAAGTGGGTCATCTGAATACAGTCTTCCAGAAAATATTCTGCAAAAACAATGCAGTCGCGTATAAGTCCAGTATGG